CCCCCCCCAAGTGGATGATATGTTTCTGTCAATCTCTTATTCATACACAAAGTACTGTCTAATGCAGATGACTCGTCTCTTTGGCGTTGACGATGAATTTGGTGAGGATGCAATTCTAGGCAAGCTTGAAGCCATGAGAGATATTATTGAACAAGTGAACAGACAATTTAAGGATCCAGTAAGAGTTTTCCTTATAATGGTCATTTTTTATTAAGAAGACCTTGTTTTATATATGTGTTATAAATACTTATGTGCTTATGTCCAACTATCTAGAAAGAAAAAAAATAATAAAAAGGAAATCAGCTACTGTTGCCTGTTGATCCAGTTTATTTTCCATCTTACTTTTTATTGATGGAACCAACTTCTTTTGTCCTGTGCAGGGCAAGTTAAAGTTCCTTATCATGATTCTTACTAATGGCTAAATACTGACTTTCCTTAGTGTTCTTTGTTTACTTTGAGTTCTGATTATGGAGTCTTGGAGCAACAGTAAAGTTGTCTCCGTGTGACCTATAGGTCACGGGGTTCGAGCCGTGAAAGCGGCCACTAATATTTGTATTAGGGTAGGCTGTCTACATCACACCCCTAGGGGTGCGGCCCTTCTCCGGACCTTGCGTGAATGCGAAATGCTTTGTGCACCGGGCTGCCCTTACGAGTTTAACACAACTTTTCTTACAGGAAATGACGACGTTTGTTTGTGTTTGCATTCCGGAATTCCTCTCTCTATATGAGACTGAAAGACTTGTTCAAGAACTCACTAGGTTTGAGATTGATACGCACAACATCATAATTAACCAAGTCCTCTTTGATGTAGAAGGTACACAAGTCTCCTTTTAGTGATTCCTCAATTGTTTTCCCCTTTAATCTGTTCTCTTTTTCTATTTCACTTTATTTATGATAACTTTTTCCAATGCAAAAGAAAACATAATTCTTGGACTTGTGACTGTTTTCAGTTGTTGAATCCCAGTTGCTGAAGGCTAGAATGCGGATGCAACAAAAATACTTGGATCAATTCTACACGTTATATGACGACTTCAATATTACCAAGCTGCCTTTGCTTCCGCAAGAGGTATGAAGATACTCATGTAGATATTACAACTTCAAAAGTAAAAGTTTTGAAGCCATCAAGTTTAAATCTTGGATTCGTCTCTGTTAACATACCTCTCTTTTCTTTTTCTTTTTATTTTGGTGCATTCAAAGAGGATAGTAGTCTATTGGAAACAACCTCTCTACCTTCTAGGTAGGGGCAGGGGCGAAGCCACCTTTTGCAAAGGGTGGTCAACTGACCACCCTTTGCCGAAAAATTACGTTGTGTATTTAAGTAAAATATTGATTTTTTGTCGGTTTTTTTTTTTTTTTTTTTTTTTTTACTTCTTTCAAGTCTGAACACCTTTGGAAACATTTGTGGCTTCGCCGCTGGGTAGGGGTAAGGTCTGCGTACACACTACCCTCCCCAGACCCCACTTATGGGACTATACTGGATTTTTTTTTGTTGTCGTTGTTGCATTCAGAGAGGATAGCAACGATAAAATCTTCTCTAATCAGTAAGATGGTGCTAGTGCACCATAGCATCCATGTTAGATCATACATTTCTGGTTTTTTCCTGAAACAAAAGTTGATGATATTTAAGTGATTCTATTCTGCCTTCTGCTTTTATGCAATTCCTAGCAAGAAACTATGGAGATTGGGCATTACATTTCTTGTCAAACCAGTTGTAACTCACATTATTAAGTTATTTTCTTGATAGGTTTGTGGTGTTGAAGCTCTGAAAGCATTCAAGTATCATTTTCTAACACCGTATAAACCTTCTCGTGTGCGAGCTTCAGCAGAAGAGCTGGAGAGTGGAATAGCTAAACTGAAAGAACAGTTGAAAGATGCTGAAGCAGAATATGAAAGAATTAGGAAAGGAAAAAATCAGGTTTAATCTGAAAAGACTTTTCAAATGTTAGGGAAATAGTGTCATTTGAACAAATTATTTTGTTCTTTGAGAGAATCATGATATATAATTGTTTCATTTATTGATAGAAAAGTTCTTATGTGCCTTTCAGAAGACAATGAATCTAGCTTACATGAATTGACTAGTCTTACATTAGTTGTAAGCTCATCACAATATTTACCGGTAATGTGAGCAAATTCACACAAGCAGAGTTGGCCATCCCAATTATACAAGAGGAAAATTCTTTCTATGTATTCCAATTATATTGGAGAAATTCAAAAATAGTCAGATTTACAAGTGGTCATTCAAAAATAACCATAGTTTTAAAAGTAATCGAAATTTAATCACTTTTCATGTAAAGATAAATCTGAACGAAAACACTGTTCAAAATTCGAAAAAATACTTCAGTATAATATACTGGAATTCCAGTATATTATACTCGAGTTCCAGCATAATATACTGGAGTTCCAGTATAACATACCGGTCCAGCATAATATACTGGAGATTGGAGCACCGGTGCTCTAATCTCCGTGTATTATAGTGGAACTTTTAGCGTGTTGGAATTCCAGCATAATATGTTGGAAGTTCATACACAGGTGCACCGATCTCCCGTATATTATGCTGGAACTTTCATTTTGCAGCAAAATAGTGGCTATTTTTCAATGACTTTGTAAATGTTGGCTATTTTTGAATGACCAGTCCTAAAACTGGCTAGCCCGTGCTATTTTTACAATTATATTTTGCACAATCTCCATAGGAACTTGGTAACCTCCGCTTAAAAAATAAAAAAAGTCTACACGTGAAGAAGCCAAGGGGAATAATATATATATAGTATAATTTTTCGGTGAGGGGTTGCCCGAATCCCTTCTACCGCCTAGCTCATAGCATCCCATAACCATCAAGCTTTAGATTATAGATGGGCTGAAATATTATTGTTGGACCAAAGAAGTACAATTCATGGCCTTGAATTACAATACAAGGCCCCAAGATAAGCTTTGACTTTGACATTTCTTCAACTGGTGGCTGAGATATTATCCTGTTTGTGTCTCATCCATTTCCCACCACAATTTTCAGCCTACAAAAACAAAAATAAAAAAAGAAAGAAGAAAAACCCCTCTAACTTCATTCACCTTTCTTTATTTCCTTTCCAAAAATTCCTTATCCAATTGCCATGGATACTCTGTCAAGCTCAGTTTCTTCACTCAATGTTCCAACTCTGCGTAGGAACTCTGCTGACCTTTACTCATCTCATTTCAACTTTCCAAATCACCACTTGTTCCCAACTTTCACTAAACCAACTTCAAAATTCTTAAACAAAACCAACTCTTTTATCCATACCAAGAATTTCAATATCCCAACTACTGTTCCATCTAAAAATCTACCACTCAAACAATCCTCCTCAAGACATCAAACAACTCATACTAGAGCTTCAAGTGGTTATGCTGCAGCACTAGTAGATATAGCTAAGTCCAACAACTCATTAGAAACACTTGAAAGGGACGTTATTAAGCTGTCCAAATGGCTAAGAAAAGACCCTTTTGTTTTCTTGGAAGATAAAGAAAAGGGGTATGTTCTTAAGCAGATATTGTCTAAGGGGAAATTTCACAAACACTTGGTGGGCTTGTTGAAGTTTTTAGTGGAGAAGAATAAAGTGGGGATAGTAAATGAAGTGTTGATGGAATTTGAAAGAATTTATGATGAGCTTTGTGGGACACAAGTGGTCTTGGTTTCATCAGAGGTTAAAATGGAGAAATATAAAGTTTTTGGAATAGCTAAGAAAGTACAAGAACTTAGTGGAGCTGAAAAAGTGAAAGTTAAGGTAAGACATTTGGTTGATGATAAGAAAAAGAGGTCACGCTCCTTTGCTCTATAATTAATTAACTTTCTATTTTCTATATTGATAAATTCAAGATTTAAAGTCAGTGAATTCCGCTCTTTATATGCGAAATTCAAATTGTCTTGCTGTGTCAGAAGAAGGATAGCTATACTGATTCGGTATGTAAGTTTTTTTGGTGTATGTGTGTTGAATATGTGGCGCAGCCCTTTCCCGAACTCTACATAAACGCGGAATACCTTATGCACTGGACTGCCTTCATTTGTGTTGAATACGAGGCGTCTAGTCTTAGTTCGCCACTAACTTATGAAAAATGCTCTAACCTATGGTCAAGTGTAAACTATTGTATAGTTTGGAGCTGCAAAGATTTCACCTTTGTGAATGATAGGTAACATATTGCAGTTAGAATGATGAAAAGCCAAAAAAAAAATATGATATGAATAAATGTACAATTGTAGTATTTTGCTTAGAATGAAAACTTTACATCATAGTCGGCTGAATTCACCATTTACTTTTTCTGGTCAGTATACATAGATTATGTGCTGATTATACACGATTATACATATATTATACATGAATTATTTATCTATTACATATGCCGACTATTTTTAATTTAAGTAGTTGAGTAACCGATTATTTAGGTTAATACGATACACTATGTTCTAGAAAAGTGATCAAACATTGAAAAGGTATGTCATGTAAAGACTTGCTTAATCATAGATTTCGGGTTCGAGCCCTGGATATGGAATTGCCTTATTTAGGACCCCAATGTGGGACATACCGGCGCGAATCCGGATTTAGAGGGCCCCCATTGCGAATACCAAACACCGGGTGGAAAACAAAAAAAAGTTTATTTATCAAACAAATAATGTTCAGATTCTTTGTACAAATTTTCCAATTAGGCACATAATTACACTTCAAATATGTGAAATCAACATCAATTTCCCACATAGGCCATAGCTACCAATGATCCTTTACAATCTTAAATCTTTCGAAAACAAATTTTCCTTCTTTGTATTTCTGGCTTTCATCATATGCTCTTTCATATTTCCATCCTAAAACTTCTCCACAATCACAACACTTAACATCTGCCACAGTATGCAAACCTGTCATTAGTTGCCGATCTTCCTTCTGCCCTATTACTACATTCATGGCATGTGTAAATAAATAAGCTCTCCCTGTTCTTGCCTGTCTTTCACAAAATATTGTGTCATAAATAAAGACAGACATAACACGAGTTCAATAAGTTCGACTGAACTTAATATCTTTTTGCACAAAACGTAGAGATATATAAATGGGTAATCCGGTGCACTAAGCTCCCGCTATGCGGAGAGTTCGGGAGAGGGCTGGAACACACGGGTCTATTGTACGCAGTCTTACTCTACATTTCTGCAAGAGGCTATTTCCACGGCTCGAACTCGTGACCTCCTGGTCACATGACAACAACTTTAGCAGTTATGTCAAGGCTTCCCTTCAAAATATAGAGATATATACGCGAAAAAAATTACTTACTAAAATTTTAACAAATTTCAAATGTTGAACTCATAATTTTGAAACTGTAATTGAACTAGCGTAAGAACGTAAAAGATTGAACCTCATCATAAACAAAGGCAGATGTAGCGTAGGTTCAATACGTTCAACTGAACCCAATGTCAGGGGAGGAAATAGGGAGGGCTTATGGGGTTCATCTTTACCCCATTCGCCAGAAAATCACATCGTATGTACGATATCAAAATGTTGTTCTATGTATATATATTAGATGTCGAACCCCTTGGTGAAATCCTGCCTTGCCACTGACGACAACAACAACAACTTAGTGTAATCCCACAAAATGGGGTCTGATCCTACCTTGTGAAGGTAGAGAGGCTATTTCCAATAGACCCTCGGCTCCAAGAGAGATGAAAAAGAAGACGAAACAACAAAACAGTAACAACAGTCGAATTTGAATGATCACTAAAATTTTAAAAAATATAAACTTTTAAACTCATAAATTTCAAAAGTTTATCGGTTTTAGGGCATAAGAACTTTAAAGGTTGAACCGACAAGCGCCAAGTTCAAAAAAAAAAAAAAAAACTAAGTGAAAGAAATTTCATAACCTGAAAATTTTTGGAGACGATATCATCATGAAGAGCAATATGATTTCGGCATTTACAGCAACTGTATATCCGTGGACCGACTAATCCTTCTTCCATATGTTGTATATAAAATAAATTGTTTCAAAACTAGAGATCTTGGAGTTTGGAAGCAAGTTATAAGTTTAATTAATAGTAAATGAATCCAATTAGTTTGTAGAATTAAAGATTTGTTGTTTGCTTGAAGCAAAAGCTTTCTTCAAGTTGCTGGCATCAATAATTAGACTGAAAATGAGATGAAAGTGAACTAATTAATAAGAAATTGAAACGCTTGATTGAAGATTTCTAAATTAAACAAGTAGTAGTAGACTGCAATCAACTAACATTAGATAAAATAATTAGGTGTTGATAAGGATGGGATTCAATAATCAATGTTTAATTTTCCCCTTGTTCTAGAGATAATCTTATGCTCGTAATTGTATTATAACTTACAAATAGTAGCAAAGTAGTAACAAGTACGTACATAAACTTTAATTTCTTTTATAAAAATAGCACCATGACGTTGCTATTGTAAACTTTTAAATCATTAAAAAGTTATATTTGTATATTTCTCGTCATAACAACTTTCATATTTAATCTCCTCTAGTATAATTAATTGAAATAATGACAAAAATTAAGTGGAAAACGATTAGAATTCCGCCTGTAAAGTAGAGGCAAAAATAATTTGCGGTGAACGTGGATCGAACACGTGACCTTCAGATCTTCAGTCTGACGCTCTCCCAACTGAGCTATCCCCGCTGTTATGATAACGGCACACGATAACTTTTAATCTTCTTCTATTGAACTATAAGATACAGCCTTTTTGGTTTCTTAAGATTAAGAATATCCGAGTCTCAATACATATTATTATTATTATTATTTGGATATTGTTTCTAATTTGAACATTAAATAATAATTAAGAATTTATATTTCTTAAACTTAAAATAGAAAATATGAACTTAATCACGGGAGCACAGATTGAAAAAGGAAATACAATAATAACTACTATACCTTAATCTCAAACAAGTCCAAATCGGCTATATAGATCCTGACCAATCATATTTCTCCATTTAAATTCATCTCAAGAAATATTGTACAACTTTCAAATGAAAATAAAAGCACTAGAAATTCGTTTTGTTTGCACAAAAATCTCTAATAGGACTAAAAGACTACTAGAAACTACAAGACCTAAAGCAACACATGGGAAGATGACTAAAACATATTCCTAATTAATTGATATCACTTATATCTATATTTTGTTTTTCTTCCCATTTTCCCCTATTTTTTGTTGAGTCTGCCTAGATTTCAAGACATTATAGGTATTTTGAGACACTTTCTTTCAATAAGATTTTAGATATACTTTGTCCGTTTAACCCCTTCACTCAATATAATTTTATTCTGATGGATCACTGCATTTGAAAGTCCGCATAAAACATGATTAAATTATTATAAACGATTCTCACTTTATCCTTAATGTGCGTTACTTACACCTTCTGACAGATATGATCATTTTAAATTCACGAATTTTCAACGGTATATAGTATAATACTGCTTTGCTAAATGGAGCAATAAAATTGAATTTGTGAAGGCCAGAAAGCTACCTGCTCCCTTTGTTATGCTATGAAATTGACAAGAAATTTGAGAATTGGATCAACTAGAAAACCCAAATCGCCTAAGTCGGTGAGAGAAGAAGTGAGAGACGACAGAGTAAATAGAAATTGATCAATTAATTAAAAATAGAGTCAACTAACTCTATTTATATGTACGGCTAAAATTGAAACTATCCGGACAAGGGCCGGTTTCCTGAAATGTAAAAAGAAAATATGGCTGAATAAGAAAAGGCCCAATACTCCAACACTTAGTGAGCTCAACCAGGAATTGGATTTGGTATTTATAAGGCTCTATCACCCCCCCCCCCCCCTAAAGGTTGAGGGTGATTGAACACCAAGCTTGCATAAAATTCTGTGATGAGGAACACCAGTTAAGGCTTTGGTAAGCATATTAGCTAGTTGAGTAGAAGTACGCACATGCTGAAGAGAAATTACCCCAGCAGAAAGAACATCCCTAACATAATGACAATCCACTTCAAAATGTGTTTGGTGAGCTCATGGAAAACTGTATTTCTAGCAATATGTACAGCAACTTAACTATCACAAAAGATAGAAACAGGAGAAGTAATAGACAAAATCATATCATGAAGAAGCCTAAGCAGCCAGGAAACTTCAGCAACCACCTGTCTCAAAGCTCTATATTCTGCTTCAGCAGAGCTTAAGGAAACAGTAGGTTGTTTCTTAGACTTCCAAGAAACAGGAGAATCACTAAGAAGAATATAATATCCAGTAACAGATCTCCTTGAGATAGGGCAGGCAGACCAGTCAGAATCAAAGTAAGCTCTGAGGGTGAAATCAGAAGAGCTGTTGAGTAAAATACCCTAAGCAGGGTCATTAGCAAGGTATCTATGAACATGTAGTGCAGCCAACATGTGAGGAACTTTGGGAGATACCAGAAACTAGCTCAAATGTTGAACAGAGAAAGAGATGTCAGGCCTGGTATGCTGAAAGAAGTTCAACTTGCCAATAAACCTTCTATAGATAGAAGGATCAGAAATGGGATCACTAGAATCAACATGGAGCTTGTTTTGGGGATCAAGTGGAGTAGTAACAGGCTTCGCATCTTGATAGTGAAATTCGGATAGGAGATCCTTTGTGTACTTTTGTTGATGTACTACATAACCACCTTCTACCAAAGAGACCTCAAGGCCAAAGAAATAATGAACAGAATAAAGATCTTTGATTCTGAATTGTTTATCTAAAAAGGCTATCAAATCTGCAATTTCTTGACCATTATCACCATCTAAAAGGATATCATCCACATATACTACCAAAATAACAATGGAGGAGGCAGTGATTTTGGTGAATAAAGAAGAGTCATTCTTGCTAGGGGAGTAACCTCTGGAAAGAAGAGACTGCTTTAGACCATAGAGGGATTTTTTCAATTTGCAAGCCAAAGGAGGATCAGAGGAAGAAGGAGCAACAGTCAACCCCAAAGGGATTTTCATGCACACCTCTTCATTGAGATCACCATGTAGGAAAGCATTGTTGACATCCAACTGGTGGACTGCCCAATCATGCTTGACTGCTAAGGTGAGAAGGCATTTGACAGTTGTGATCTTGACAACTGGACTGAAAGTTTCAAAATAGTCTATGCCCTCATTCTGAGAATCACCTCTAATCACTAATCTTGCCTTGTATCTCTTAATAGAACCATCAGACCTTTATTTGATTTTATACACCCATTTGATGGTATGGCCTTCTTTCCTGGAGGCAAATGAACAATATCCCAAGTCTGATTTGCTTCCAAGGCTTGAAATTCTTTAACCATAGCATCCTGCCAGGTAGGATGAGGTGTTGCTTGATAGTAAAACTGAGATTCATGCATATGAATCTCAGTAGAGGTAATCTTGGAATTCACAGGAAAAGTGGAAATGGTTGTGGACCAGACACAGTTTTGAAGATAGGTAGGTGTATGAGATTCTCTAAATAGAAGAAACGGTAGAAAGGGTAGGAGAAGGAGAAGAGGAATGAGGAGCATGAGAAGAAGAAGCCACTAGTGAAGTAGGTTGAAGAGCCCACTAGTGAAGCAAGTTGAAGAACCTGAACAGGGGAAGGTGCAGAAGTTGTAACAGTAGGGGAAATCTCTGGAAAGGGATCAGGTGAGATGGGAAAAGCAGGAGGAGGAGATGAAGAATTATAAGGGAAGATATGCTCATGAAATATAACATCCCTAGAAAATAGGATGGAATGAGATGTAATATTGAGAAACTTATACATTTTCTTTCCTAAAGGATAACCTAAAAAAACACATGGAGATGCTCTAGGTTGGAATTTATCCCTACCCACCTTTGGCAAGGTAGGAAAGCAAAGGCAACCAAAGGTTCTCAGATAAGAGTATGTAGGAGGATGACCATGAAGTTTCTCAAAAGGTGACAAGTTGTGTAAAACACTATAGGGAAACCTGTTGATCAGGTAGGTGGCGGTAAGCACACAATCACCCCAATATTTAACAGGAAGTTTAGATTGAAATAGAGTGCTCTTGATGTTTCTAATAGATATTTGTGTTTCCTCTCAACAACCCCATTTTGTTGAGGAGTGTGGGGAATTATGGTTTGGTGAAAAATCCAAAATCAGCAAAATAGGATGAGATTTAAGCACTGGAGCCTAGCTCAAATGCATTATCAGGCCTAATTGTTTGAACTTTAGAGCTAAAATGATTATGGGCCATGGAAACAAAAGCTTTGATAATAGAAAAGGCATTACTCTTACACGAAAGTAAGTGTGTCCAGGTCACTCTTGAAATATCATTAACAATAGTCAAGAAATACCTAAACCCTTATATGTCCTTGTATGATAAGGACCTCATAGATCAATATGTACAAGTTGAAAAGAGTGGCCCCATGGGTGAATTAATTGGATTTGTGCACCTAATTGTGGGGGCTACGTGCGCACGAGGTGACGAGAGTCCGTGAGTAGCTACTATTATGTTTAAGTCTGGGTAGTCTAGGACCCAAAAAGCATGCTATACTTGGAATATTTGTAATCTTATTGATAGTTTGAATTGCTTAAATCACATCGAATTAGTGAATGAATTTCTAAAAAGATTAAACTTCATTTTTCTTGAATTGTTAAAAGAGAGTAGGCTTTTCCTTGGATAATTGTTCCCTGATAAATTCATGATTGATTAATTGTTGTGTTTATTTATATTTGACCGCTTCGCATGTATGATTCGCGAGCGGGATAGTAGATGCATCTATGGTTCGGGCCGCTCGACCCTCGGCAGTGCATATTTTACATTCATGTTGGATCNAACTGAATTGAAAAGAAGGAACTAAAAGAACATTTGCTAAAATGGATCATTACACGGTTTTAAAGAACCAGTGTAATTGACTTTTACTTTGTAACCATTTGGTACTGTTACTAAGTAAGGACAAGGTAATGGTTGAATATTGTGTAGGAGTTCTTTATGTGGGGTCATATGGTTGGTAGCTCATGAATCTAGAATCCAAGTATTAACCTTTAACTGAGATACACAACACAAAGCAACAGAATACACAGCAAAACTACAAAACACACCTGCAAATGCCCCATAGCAGAAGAGGTAATGATGGGATCCTAGGTTGCAGCAAAAATTTGAGGCTGTTGGAATAAACTCATAAGGTGTTGATAATGCTCTTTACTGAACCCATGGACT